TACCAGTTAAAAACTACTCCTTATTATTATTTAGATAAATGACAATCTCAGATTTATAAGCTTTAAAACTAAATTAAACAAATAAAATAAAATCAAATAATATTAATTCAGATAATCAGACCAAGCAAACCTAGGACATTGGATTCACATACCCAATACTTGGCTCAATTCTAATTCATAATTATTTGGTTTTAGATTTTCATTAACTTCACAACAATTCACCTATTTAAGAACTATTTACCGTCGTGATATAATTCTCTCACTCTAGTTAATCCTATGACTACTGTCGTGACTATAGGATATAACTAAAGCACATTACGATCTTAAGAATTATTAGTTGCAAAGGCAATGCTCCTACCGTTGTGGCTCACTCCCTAAGTTTAATATTCCTATGGACTAGTGTTAACCTTCAATTGTCGTTCCTTCAGTTAAACACCTTTAAACATGAAAATAATGGCCAACTACTTACACGAATTAAATCAAGAATATTAAATATTGATTAAAGAAAAAGCCAAATAGTATGAATCAAAGCAAATCAAATAATCCGAATGCTACATCCAAGCCCTAGGTTAAAAGAGTTTAACCACTAAACATTATTAAAAATAATTCAATAATATTTAGTATTATCATCAAAAAGTCTGAAATTTAATAAATAAAAACAAAAACAATAAAACCCGGATGTAGAACAATGCCGCCGAAAACTAATCGTGAAAGATAAATCCCAAGCTTTGCTCCTTTCCGCTTCTACTGCTCTTGATGCGTGGCTGCCTTGCTGGATGATGATGATGGCGTGAATTGGTGCTGGAAGTGGTGGCTAATGGAAGCAAGGTGGTGGTGGAGTTGTGCGCAGGAAGAAGGTGCGCAAGGTTCTTGCTGCATAAAGGAGATGAAGGAGTTGGGTTGCTGCTTGCTTCCACTTCTCCTCGGCTGCTACTGGAAGCTCAAAGGTCAGGACGTGTTTCGGTTGCTGCACAAAGTTGCTGCGGCAAGGAGAAGAGGAAGGTTGTCGGCTTCGCTGGGGTTGTGCGAAGATGGTTGGACTTCGGCAGCTTCGGTGATGCGGTGGTGATGATGACGATGGTTGCTGCACGAAGGAGACGAGGAGGTGGCTACTTGGATCGGCTGGATTTCGGTGAAGTACAGTGGATTTGCAGCCGTGAAGGAGGTGTGGGTTTTCAGTCCAGTTTGGTTCTAAAAATAAATCTCTAATTCTCCTTTTATAGACTTCCGTCAAAACCCTAATTCTTGAATAGTAAGAAAACTTGTTTCCCAAATTATATTGGGATTAAAATTCTTACCCAAATTCAATCCCAAATCAGCCGCAAGTCCTTGTTTCGGCCAATTTCCATAAACCAAAATAATTCCAAAATTTCTTGTTTAATCCTCCAATTTTTCAAATACTTTAATTTCTTCCTTGTCAATTTATCAAATCTTTAGTTCTCCCTTTGAGTTGTTTTTATCTTCATTTTAGCCCAAAATTTTAACAATTCCTCCAATTAAGTACAATTCCTATAATTAAAGATAAAATCACATAGATAGCATACATGTATTCAAAATAGTAGCAAAATCTCGCATAAAAGGATATTAAAAATAGGTAAATTGAAAGCACATCAAAAAGCTTAAAGGAATTTCCTGGAATGCCGTATCCAGGTGACATTTTCATTGACGAGGGATTGAATGCTATGATACATGATGAACTAGATTACGATAGAGCCACACTAAAAGAAGAACATGATGTTCTTTATGTTAATCTTACTGAAGAACAGAGAAAAATCTACAAAGAGATATTGAATGCTGTCAAAAAAGGAATCGGAGGGTTGTTTTTTGTGTATGGTTATGGTGGAACTGGGAAGACGTATGTGTGGCGCACAATATCGTCTGCAATTCGTAAAGAAGGAGATATAGTACTGAATGTGGCATCCAGTAGCATTGCATCATTGCTCTTGGTTGGTGGAAAGACTGCTCATTCAAGGTTCCAAATACCAATCAACATTACTAATGAATCAACATATACTATCAAGCCAGGACGTGATCTTTGTACTTTGGTTAAGAGAGCTAAACTTATTATATGGGATGAAGCACCAATGGTACATAAACATTGTTTTCAAGCCCTGGACAGATCACTAAAGGATGTACTACGACATTCTAATCCAAATGCTGCAGACCAACCGTTTGGAGGTAAAGTTGTGGTAGTTGGAGGTAATTTTAGACAGATATTACCAGTTGTTCCGAAAGACACAAGAGCAGATATTGTGAATTCTGCAATAAATTCATCTTATTTATGGAGATATTGTAAGGTATTGAGGTTGATTGTTAATATGAGATTACTTGGTGCGAATAATTTAAATGATAATGATGATATACGTGAGTTTGAAGAATGGTTGTGAAAGATTGGAGAAGGCAAGATAAATGAACCAAATGATGGGGAAGTTGAAATTGAATTTCCAGATAAAGTCATCATACAAGAACCAGGGAATCCTATAGAAGCCATTGTAAACACTGTATATCACAACCTGGTGGATAATCTAAATGACGCATCATGGTTCCGGGAGAGAGCAATATTAGGACCAACCTATGAAGTGGTTGACAGTGTTAATGAATACATGATAGGATTATTACCTGGGGAAGAACATGAGTATCTGAGTTCAGACAGTATGTGTAATTCAGAACATGGAACTGAATCGGATCAAGGTATTTATACACCTGAATTTTTAGACAGTGTTAAAGTTTCTGGACTTCCTAATCACATATTGGTTTTGAATGTAAATGTTCCAGTCATATTACTCCGTAATGTTGATGAAAGGAATGGTCTTTGCAACGGAACAAGGTTACAGATTACACGAATGGGGCGTTACATCATTGAAGGTAGAGTAATTTCTGGAAGCAACATTGGTGATATTGTGCCTATTTCTCGGATAAAAATTATTCCAACTGACAACACTATTCCATTCAAGATGAAGAGAAGGTAGTTTCCTATACTAGTATGTTTTGCTATGACTATTAATAAAAGTCAAGGTCAGTCTCTTTTTACAGTCGGCCTCTATCTATCAAGACCTATTTTTAGTCACGGACAGCTATACGTAGCACTCTCACGAGTAACTTCTAAGAAAGGTTTGAAAGTTTTGATTTGTAACCCTGATGGAACTCGGTCCAACACTACAACTAATGTAGTTTACAAGGAAGCTCTCAGAAATGTAAGATAGTGTAATTAGTTTACAATTACACAACTGTGTTATTTATAATACATCAGCTACTATTCAAAAAAAACATTCATACATCTCATGCAGACTAGTTGTATCGAATGCAGATTAGTGGTTTTCATCCATTTCAAAATTTAATCATATACAAATATATGTAAATTTTATAATTACATTCCAATCATCATAACCAGGAACTATTCAATCAAGCTCAATACATACAATTGAAGTGGTATGCAAATTATATAAACAGGTGTATAATTGTATCTAATGAGATAATTTTAGAGTTACCTTTAATAGAGTCCTCACTGTAACAGTTTAATCCTGTTAGTCAAACATTCATCCCCATTTCAAACCTTCAAGTATATATCAGATCTGAAATTCTCCTCCGGCAAAAATTAGTAATAAAGTTTAAAATATTTTACATTTCTACATCCTTATCTATATGGTAAAATAATAGATTGACATAGAATCATATACCTGTTGAACCCATTGATTCATACAGATTTGCTTTGAATCTCGAACAGCATACCTTTAACAGACGCCTGCTTTCCAGAAAAAACCCCCTCTGGCATAGAACACAATCTGAAAGCAGATCTATTGAAATCGCCTAATTTGTATATTGGATCGAACGTTCCATCCAAATTCAAAATGAAAGCAAATCTATTGAAATCGTCTAAATCCTGAATTGAAAATATTCGAATCTAAACTATCTCAGATTCAACAAACATACGATTGGATAGGTCACTGGACCGCAAATTGGGGGTAAATGGAAATAGAAGAAGAGCTGTTAAAAAAAGAACACTCATATCGCATTGATGTGTAATGCAACCGGAAACCAATGTCTATTACTTGAACTCTGACGAGAACCAAATGATTATTCACTTGGAAGTCAGATGAATAAGCTACGGAAGGAAGAAAATGAAGATGAAATAGGAAACTTTCCCTTTCACTTGCCCCGTTTCCTATGTAAGCTCCATTTGGAGTGTTGCCTGAAAAAGACAGCAAACCCATTTTGGACACTATGTTTTGTTTTTTAGGATATATAAATTCGGTAGCTTTTTTTTAGTAATTTTGATGATAATTTTACATTAAAAAAACAAGTATAAAAGCCTTTAGTGGAACCATAAAACACTATTTTTTCAAAGATACCGAATAAAAAAAACTATAAAACATCATCAAAGCTACTGTAAATTGACCACTATAAATTATAATAGATGCCACTATAAAACACTTACAATTTAAAATATTATGACCATTAATAATATTCAACAAAAAAAAATTTAAATATTAATTTATGCTTAACAAATAGTCTATATTGTTTAAATTGAATTCCATGGATAATTATATTTGTAACTCTATATATTCTTAAAATTAGTTTATTCATCCTGTATTTCATTTTAATAACTTAATACTCCAGACATTTAGCCAATCTATTAATTTCCATTATTTATTTATACTTTTTAAAAATAAGTAAATGTTTTCCTATTTGACAAACAATTTTTCAGTTTTTAAATGATCATTTTTCAATTAATGTTATCAGTTATGTAACTTTTTTAGACCTTATGCATTATTAATCAACCTTAATTGTAACTTTTTATCGAATCTTAAAAAATTTAATACTAATAATTTAATAATTTTATGCTTCTTAAACAATATTTTTGTAACATTAGCGGCGCCCAGACTCCTGCCCGGGCCAGGCATCTAGTTAACTTATTATAGATAATAGAAAAAAAAAACTATAAAGAATTGAAACCATTGAAATAATTCAGAAAAAAAATAAAAAAAATATTAAAAATAACGAAAACATATAGTCATGGTATTAGAATTAATTCCTTTTTTTAAAAAAAAAAATTTCAAAATACCGTTAGAAGGCACTTTTATCCTTGGACACCATCATCTTGGTTCTGAATTTAAAAATTCATAAAATAAAAACAAAAAAAACACGCAAATCTAATATCAATAAGTACCTTTTCCATGAAGAAAAAATGTAATCTTTATCGCCACTTCCGGCGAAGGAGTTAAAAAGACACCAAAAAGACGTAAGATCTCCAAACCTAGATGATTAGCGCACTCGATTGATATATTCAACACGAGTTGAATCCTTAACAAAAATTTCAGGCCATTGAAATGAGTAGTCTATCAATCATTCCTTCCCTTAGGGAGGGACACACAGTGAGAAGAAACAAAGTCACATCCAGTCAACGACCATAGCTTGCAAAAATCATTAAGCCTCTACAAGCTCAGCCTTGCAAAGATTGAAGTATTCAAATCACGAAGTTGTTCCTGCTAACTGTCAACTCTCAATATTTGGTGGCCCTTGACTTACTACAGATAGTCCTCCATTTTCGGCCATTTCTAGAGCTATGTCGGCCATGTGCATAGGTCCAGCAGTTTCTGTGCGAATTGGACGGAGAAGCCCTTGCAACCGCAGCAAATAACTCTGGCTAGAAGGCTGAGATCTCACATACCTTGTAGTTACAACACTAGGAGGCGATCGTTCTGAATCAGTACGAATATTGGACAGGGCACTAAGGTCCAGGTTTGGGAAAACAGAGCAACGACACCTTGGACACTTCACATTAAGCCGAAGCCACTCGTCAATGCATTCCACGTGGAAATTGTGCGCACAAGGAAGGCCTCGAACCTGCAAATGTAATTTTGGAACTAAGAAAATCATAATCCTGCAGTGCTTATAGATCCACTAATATCTTCAAATTCAACTTAAAACTAGCATTTTGTTTAAAGTAGGTCATGTGAGAAATGAACAACATTTATGCAGTCTTCTCAACAACTTGCTGAGACTCCAAAATACGAAAAACTAGATAAATAAATAACAATAAAATTAACAACAGTAATGATAATTAGACGACAGAAGACACTGTATTTCAACGTAATCCAAAATTTCATCAATGCCTCAACTGATGCTCAATATTCAAATGATTGAGGAAATGCTTGAAGGGTTTAAAAATGAGTAGCAGCAATTGAAATTATCAACAGCAAAAGTAACGAGAAACATAAAATAATATACTCGGCAGCTGACCAACATATTTTTTACAAGGGCGATAAACTGCGACTGATTTAGCCAACAAATATACCATCTTGATCAAAGCCAAATTGTCACCTCATTTCCCACATGGAATTCTTCTAAACATATAGGACATTCGCTGCAATCAGTTGGAACCGCTTTCAACCTGAACTTCGGAAGTTCCTGAATTAATGCCTCAACAGCTTCTCTCTGGCCAAGAATAAAAATCATTAGTCACTAAAACCAGTATTACATGTCATACGTACTCATAATGATAAAATACACCAAACAGTAATTGAATCAAATCATAAATGGATCAAGAAGCAATTATCTTCAGATAAATGCGAAAAATACAGTACCAAAGATCAAGAGTTGTCGAATGAACACATTAACATTTCAAAGAGCAACGAATCATAATTTTCTGCAGACAAATAAACCAAATGACATTCAAAGCCCAAAAAGTTCATACATAGAGCACCAAATATTGATCACTCTTGAACAGTTGGACTGTCTTCAGGAACAATGATAAGGGGCATGAGGAGGTCTTGCTTTCCAACAGATAACAACAAAATTGAAAAATCAGACATCACAGCCACACTGACTTCAGTAAAGTAATAGTACCTGTGCAGGGGTCAAGTAAAGCCCAGGTTGATATGCAGCAGCATCTTGACCCATTCCCCTCATTTCCTGGCCAGCTGCTTCAAAGGCCCAGTCTGGCACTCGGATCATGTCAATCAAAACCTGCAGTAGAAGTTACTTTCAGCAAATGACATCAGACTTCACCCCACCCCCACCCCCACCCCCCCACCCCCCCACCACCACACCACCAACCAAACACCTTTCCCCTGGGGCAAAACAAAAAAAAGCATAAAATAAGGGTGTGGCGGTGGGGATGGGGGGTGGTGGTGGGGGTAGGGGGGGGTGGAGGGGGTAAATTTGATAATACAGATAGAGTGGAACGTATTTTCAAATTATTATTTAAACATAGTTCAATAGCCTTAATTACAAGTTGGCAATACAACACAAGGTCATCCGTGCCAAACATTACAAGCTCGCCAACTTCTTCAAGTCCCTAATGTACTTTTTCTCAGCATTTAAATAAAAATTAATTAGTTTACAACATACCCCATGTTCCGAAATCGGTATTCCTTGTTGAGCACGTAATAGATGAGCTTGTCTTCTAGCCAGCCACTACAAATAGTCAAAAACCAATAATAAACAAATGACAGATAAACCAAACAACACACACAAAAACGGAAGGACAAAGGAGAAAGGGGGAAATAAAAAGATGAATCAGCATTCTCTTCCTTTCCATTCCATCCAACCCCCCCAAAAAAAAGAGGTAAATAAATTAAAAAAATGAAAACAATACAGAAAAACTTCAAAAATTTTGATGGAATGACCAAATCATGAGTGGAATTCAAGGAAAACCAACCTTTCCCATTGACATGCATGCGATACAGACAAGTCCACAATAGCTGAAAAGTAACCAAATTAAGAAGCCCCATTTCTGACCTTCTTCAGGTAACTGTGAAATTTCCAGTTATATACATGTGAACCTTTTAGCGGGATACCATAACAAAAACAATATGACAGAGAGCTAATACGAAATAAAAAGCTTAAAAGGAAGAGAGAGGGAGAAGGTGAGACACTTACACAGTTCCTTGCACTAGAAAACCATAGTGTACCAATAATACTCCAGACCCAAAGAAAAGGATAAAGCAGCAAAGCGAGAATTGAAAGAACGACTACTCTCCCACAAAAACGAGCATGCCTCTGCTGCCAACCAAAATCTCTGCAATCACATGACAAAGAATCTACTTAAGACTGAAGGCCAACATTTGATAGTTTTGATGATCAAGAATAGACCATAAAATGGTCCTCACCACCATGTTAGACAGACACTATATCAAACAGAAACTTGTGTATAGCTAAACTGATCTAAGAAGCTAAGTAAAAATTCTTCTGTAATTAAATTACTTTCTTAAAGATTCATGCAGAAGCACAAAAGCAGTTGGCAAATTCCTTCTACACCCAAGGCTTGAGATCTTCTCAACGCATTACACGTGTTATGTATCAGATATAAAGAAATTACTGCACACGAAGTTACAAAATCAGCGTGCAAAATGCTTAGCATCCAATTTGAATACTACATGAAGCATTATATACCAAAGAAAGAAAAATGAAGGGAGATTGACAAAATCTTCCATGCATCAAAACGACAAAGCAAAACAGTAACACTGATCAGCTTTTTTTCAGAGTAAACCAATAAAAGAAGATGTCTTACAATCCCATTCCAGCAGAAAGGCCGTTATCTACAAACATCAGGAGCCGAAATACAAACACAACTGTGTAATCAACCTGATGCAACATTCAAGGTACAGAATTCAGATAATGATTGATCAACAACAGAAACATTGGAAAGGAGAAAAAAAAATTAAAAAAAAAAAAAGACTACAAGCAAATTTAATTAGTGAGAATCATTCTCATTTCCTCACCACGATCCATATGTGCAAAGGGTATGTACAAAGATGGTACCTCTTCCAATTAATCGCCACAATTATTCTAAAAACAGTTAAGGGCACCCATTTTCACCAAAAGTTGAATAGACAAATAACAAAAGGAAAAAAGAAAATTTTAACAGGGGAAGCCAGGAATAAAGATAATGATCAGAACCTCTTCAAAGATTCATGTAATTCAGGAGAAAAAACAAAAAACAACATCTAGGATGGGACTAAATTCATAAAGGAGGATTAACAAAAACAGCAAATTCAGACACCAAAAATTAAATTAAAAGCTTCGGGTCTTGAATCTTGAAGGATACATACTAGTCGCTAACATTGATAAAAAGAATCCATCATACCTGCAAGAAGAAGCATACGTCAATTCACCAATCTCATTTACAATAATTCGCTAAATTTCAAATGATTGAAAATTCCGCAGAAACAAAATTGTAGTCGAAAATTTAACGCGAGTAATATTAACAATTGATGGAAAGCACAATAAGAATTAAAAGAAAAAAAAAACAGCAAAACTATGAGAAGAACAGCAAGAGCGATTACGACGATGAAGATTACATGACAACAAAAAGCAAAACCCCTCACCATTTGAAATCCACGCCTCTTATCGCCATTGCAGAACTTTGAAACCCTAATAACAGTGAAAAGTAACAATGAACTGCGAAGTTGGAGCCCAAGATTCGATTCTCATTTGCCAATTCCGCAGGAAAAGAATCCTGGAGACGTCGAGTTCTTCTGAAATTTCACATCACTTAGTAAAATGGCACAAAGCGAAATATTTCTTTTCCTTTTATTTTCTCCTGACTGTGTCACTCGAACTGAGGTGAAGGGCAAATTGATATGGTTTGACTAGACTTTGACATCCGTGTAATCATCTTCTTTTTTCCTTTTATTTTTTCCCCTTTTTTTATTTTTTCCTTAAATATATTTCCTTATATATATCTGGACAAAAATAAATATTTCAAAAATTTTGTGGACAAACTTATATGTCCCGGATTTAGGAAATCCGAATGGGTGAAAAACTCAGATTTCGGAAATCCAAACCTCAATAAACTCGGATTATAAAAATCTGACTTTGTATTACGTAAATTCGATATTAAGTTAATGACAGAGATTAGTGTAATTAATCTAAATTCGGAATTTATAAATCCGTATTTACGAATAAAATATTAATTTTTGGATAGAGAAAAAAATGTGTTGAAAAATTAAATTTGAGAAAAACCGGATCACGGTAATCCGAATATACGTAGATTCGGATTATCAAAATCCGAATCTCCTCTGTTTTCTGAAAAATGGTGACTCTCAGTTGGCTACAAACTCGGATTTCCGAAATCCGAATCCTTTACAAAAAGTCTGAGTTCGGATTTCGCAAATCCGAGTCTTTGTCAGAACTGAAAAATAAAATTAGACTGGTTTTCATCAGTCCTAAACCTGTTTACAGCACCAACAACAATGAAACATTGGAAAACAGAAATTTAATGGCAACAAAACAGTAAACGGCATTAGATTAACAACAAAACAAATCAAGTTTCATACCAAAATCAATACAAAAACTACTTTAAATGTGCATAATAGTCTCATTTTTTCCCTTTTCCTTTATTGTGCGCATCCGGAGTGTATTTGTTTGGGCCCTGTCGGATCCTGTCTCCCCTCTTAAGATACGTGAGTATTGAACTCTGTTGTGGTTGCGACTGTCCACCAAACTGAACCTCGGGTTGGGGTTGAGATTGGACTCCCCCATGGTGAGAAATTTGACTCCCGGTTGTGGTTGAGACTGTCCTCCAAACTGAGTCTCGGGTCCACCAAGGTCAAACTGAGTCTCGGGTCCACCAACGTCTTCAAAAAGAGTCTCGACCTGGATACGCGAGCCTCGAGAAGAATGTGCTTGATCCTCATTTTGTTGACCCTCAGTTTGTTGTTGCGATGTCCGAGGGAGGGATTGGGACCTTCCTCTTTCTTCCTCCTCCAATCTTATCTCTCGACCATGGTTTCGCTTTTTTACCCGGCGGAAGTTGTGAGGGCAAAGATGGATCTTAATCAACCAGGATTTGGGTATCCTCCACCTCCATCTCATCATTTGCGCCCAAGGTTAAAGCAGCATGTGTTTGATTGATGATATCGTCCAAATGCTTGTCGAGTTCTTCGTCTAGGAGATTCTCATCTTCTCGTTTTACTCTAAACTTCTCGGTACTCACGCGAATGTTGTTCAATACTTCACCCTGAAAAGAAATCGGGACGTTAATTAAGAGAGTAAAATTCTAAAAAAAAATAAAAATAAAAATAAATAAAATGAAAACATAAGAAATAATAAAAGAAATATAGAATGAACTCACATATAATTTCACACGGCTCGAAGAAGTCTCGTATCCTTGAGGTTCATAATTACCGGGATTGGATATCAGTCTGACAGTGTTCATCATGAACCATTCATAGTATCCCTTACATACGGAACCAGGATCTCCTTCCTCTAAATCTCATACCACGTACTCTTCTCTCCTATTCCAATGACAACGTACTGCGGAATGGTGGTCCACCTTATTATTGCTAGGATACCCAGACATACTGTGGGCGTGATCGAGAAGGAATGTTGCGTTATTTTAATCATAGGGCGCTTGGGAACATCCTGTATGTATCCAAATTGTCTTACGACTCTGCCCGACTCGTGGGGTTCCTTAATAGCCCAACAGAACATCCAACATCTGGTCGTCCAAATGGCTTGGCCTTATGTACAGAAATTAGGGAGTTTATGAAGGACATGTGCATATGGTTGCCACCGAAACTGCACGAAAAGAATTTCATTAGATGGTACAACCGGAACGAAAAGAAAGGGGTACTTGATCTCAAAGTAAATATAAATACCAAATTACAGGTACTTACACCTTCAACACGCAAGCTTGTTAATTGATCTCTAAAAGGTGGGTTGCTGCTCCTTGGGGCGTCGCCATAGGTGTACCTACATTTCCACCTTAATGAACAAAAGGGTATATTTGAATTAGTGAAAAAAATGAATAAGAAATAAATAGAAATAAACATTGAGTTATTTTGAACTGAAAATACGTACCGCTGAGCTAATGGAGCGGTCTCATCAATCAAATAATCTACTCCTTTTCTTTGTGGCACAATCCTCTCGATCCGCTCATACGCCCATACCTAGTAAATTGCAATAATAATGTTAAAACTTCAAATTATAACGTCGAAAGCAGAAAATAATTAAAACACAAAATGAAAACTAATACGTACCTGTAGCAAATATAGACACCCAGTGGCATCGTGCATGGTGTACTGTGATGCCTCGCACAGTCCAGAGTACAAACCAGCCAGCAGTGCCGATCCCCAACTGTATCAACTACACTGATCCAAATCCTCAACCTGGGCCAAGAACTGCAGATTGACAGTGTTTTGAGTCTTGTTAGGAAACATGAAACTACTAATAAAATGCAGTATAAGTGTCCTGGCCTTTTGCTCGAATCGATGGACAGTGGAATTGTCAGGTAGTGCGCAGCCCATCTCGTCTTCGAAAATACAAATACTGACACATTGGCCATTTACTTGGGCTGGCCGGAATCCCAAATAAGCCTCACATCGATCCCACCATTTATCTGCAGTCCGGCTAACTGTCGTCTCGTACACCGGGTCACCATCCACCCGAATACCAAACAGGACCTCGACGTCCTGTAGCGTCACAGTCGCCTGAAATGGAAAGTGTGGGTTTCTGGCCTCCACCATTCCACCTACGCGGTAATGAGACCGAGATCTAATCTTTTGTAGCCTACTTTCATGATCCCCTCAAAACCGGCTCTCTTAATGACTTCCTTAATATCCGGTGCCGTATTTTTGTATATCCCACAAAAATCGTTGTCGTATCTACGGCTCTTGAGGCGGAATGTTTTAATATCCGGTATCTTGTTCTCATAGACAGCTTGGGACCTATGATTTGTTTGACGATATAGCATTTTATCTTGTATAGGTCCCGGATGAAGATGTTTAGGTTGATAGTCATATTGCGTGCCCGATGCCGGCGTCGCCATTTCAATCCTACACAAGGTAACTAATACGGCTTTCAATCCAAATATGCAAAATAATGATGCACTAACCAAATACCATATACATTCGGCCAAAAAAACAATTCAACCAAACCATATACATTCGACCAAAAAAACAAAACTATCAAACCATATACATTCAGCCAAATAAAGAAAACAACCAAACCATATACATTTGGCCAAAAAATAATACTAATACAACAACAATCCAGACATTATATCAACACCACTAACATTCACAATTCACAATTCACACAACTATAATCCAACACAAATACTATATCAACATAACTATACAACACAATTCACTAATCAATCACAAACCAACATAATTCACTAATCAATACAACACAAACCAACACAATTCACTAATCAATACAACACAATTCAAAATAAACTAAACCACAACAATACACATTAGGAAAAAAAACACATTAGGATTTCAAAAAGAACAAAATATTTGACCAAAAAAAATAAAGAGAGACAAACTTACACCAAAAGGAGAGTGTCGCCGGTGGGAGAGAGGAGTCCCGTGGGAGAGAGGGTCGCCGGTGGGAGAGATGGAACCGGAAGGAGTTGCCGGTGGGATGAGGGAGTCGCTGGTGGGAGGAGGGAGTTGCCAGTGGGAGGAGGGAGTTGTTAGGGTTTTTTAATATTTAGAATTGGGGGGAAAATGGGAGGGGGAAGAGTTGACCGGGAATATATAGTCCCGTCAAACTTGGATTTCTAAAATCCGAGTCCTTTGCAAATTCAACTGAGCTCGGATTTCAGAAATCCGAGTCTACCCTATTTCTCCTCAAATTGCAACTCTCGGATGGGTTTCACCAATTCAGATTTTCGAAATCCGACTCCTTTGCAAACTCAAAAAAAGTCTGAGCTCGGATTTCGAAAATCCGAGTCTCCCTTGTTTCTCCTCAAAATGCAACTCTCGGATGGGTTTCACCAATTCGAATTTCCGAAATCCGAGTCCTTTGCAAACTCAAAAAAAGTCTGAGCTCGGATTTTGGAAATCCGAGTCTCCCTGTTTCTCCTCAAAATGCAACTCTGGGATGGGTTTCACCAATTTGGATTTCCGAAATCCGTGTTCTTTACAAACTCAAAAAAAGTTTGAGCTCGGATTTCGGAATTCCGAGTCACCCCTGTTTCTCCTCAAATTGCAACTCTCGGATGGGTTTCACTAATTCGGATTTCCAAAATCCGAGTCCTTTGCAAATTCAAAAAAAAAGTCTGAGCTCGGATTTCGGAAATCCGAATTCTTTAGAAAACCTTAAAATGATGAGTATTGCACAATCTCAAAACCTGTTATGAAAAACTACTACATATTTCATCACACTTTACAATCCGAACAATTCAATGTTTACATTACAATTCGAATTTATCAATGTTCACATAAATTTATCAAACATTAAATGACTCTCAATTCTAGCTGTCATTCACAGGTCTTCTATCTACTCCTGGGTGCGAGAACGGACAAGACTTGGCATCATGACCTTATTGTTCACATCTCCAACATTTTCCCCGGCTCTGGCGCCTCCTGTAATCCATTTGCATTCTATGTCTCCTTTTTTGTCTTCGTCCCGGTCCCACATACAACACAAGACACTCATAATTTGGAATGATGTTCCAATTGACCATCGGTCATTGTTTCTCATCGGGAACCGGAACAAAACCCGTCTAATCAAATTGTCTGCGCCACATTGGAAGGCGCCACACACTATGGTATAGATCAATAGTCCGATCCCCTTTTCTCTGACAAACTTGGAGTGCGTGCGTACAAGGCATCCGGTACTCTT